GAGAGAGAGAGAGAGAGAGAGAGGGAAAATCATTTCAGAATCTATAGTTTCCCGAGAACCTAAGAACCAAACAATGACCGTTAGATCAAAATAATAGAAGGTTGAAATTCTTTATGGCAATTTTGTAAATAATTAAAAGAATAAGACATGGGCTATCTAATTAAAATAAATCAAAGGGCATTTTAGAGATAACAAAATTTACATCCCTTGATCACATTGAATCGTTAAACCTATACTCTCTCTCTCTCTCTCTCTCAAACCAACCATCTGCCCCCTCCCCCAGCGACCTTCTTCTCCAGCGCTTCTCAAATCAATATTCTTCTCCGGCACCATTGTTGCATCTCCTACGTCAATGATTCTAGTCATAGATGCCAGTTTCCCCAAAAATCAACTTCACCGCCGATTTCATCTTGTTACCGCCTACAAATCTGGATCCCAATCAATCCGATTTATATCGCCGTCGATCGCACCTCCCAGATCTCCATCACTTTCCACTGGCGTCGAACTTCATCCACGCAATCAATTTCTACAATCGATTTCTCACCGTTAATACAAGTAATTTCTGAAATCGTTTCCAATCCGGTTTATGCTATCAATTTCTACCGTCGATTGTTGCAATCAATTTATTCACTCACGATGAACCATGTAATCAAATGTCTTCAAAGCAACTAAGGTTTAGAACTATCTATTGTATATGATATATTTTGAAAGTCAATAGTTTTAAACCTAATGATTTCTAAAACTCTCTGTTTGTAGTTTTTTGGTTTTATGAATTTTTTATTCCATTGTTGATTCCTTATTGGTTAATATAGATATTAATATTAAATAGGAGTTGATAGTTAGATAAAACAAAATCAATGTGATTCTAAATATATATTATGAATCTGTTATCTTTATGTTAATCAGGTTAGTATTCTATTATGAATCTGTTAATTACAGGTACCAATTTGACTGTGTGATTCTATGATCAGTTTAGTCCCATGTTTATTGGTCAAAAAGTCCCATGGTCATCAGACTCTACAGTTATACGAATGCCTATTTCATCAAAGTTCATTGAAGAAGGAACTGAATGTGAATGGACAGAAATAAAGTTGATATTTGAAAATTTCATTAAGCATGCCTCTAGAACACTCGTATTTCTAAAGTTTGTTTATGAGGTAATGAGAAGTGAGAATCTATATTTCAGACATCTAGTTATTGCTTATAAAATTTAACACTTTCTTTGAATCAGGTGTCTTTATCAACATGGGAAGAAAAGGAACCACAATCTTCACAAGATTTTTTAATCTATGTGGACTCATCACATACTCTTTGTCTTGCTTGCAGTTTACTTTCCATTTGATGATTCTAATCTTATGAACCTATATAAAAAAGTAAGCATTATATGTAGTTGTGTTGTATGCTTGATTTCCTTTTTGTGATCATATTGTAATTAGATATATTTAGTGACTGTATTGTATGTTGCTTGAGAAATATAGTTTGTTTTATGCTCTTATGGTCATATTTGTAGTGACATTGTTATTGCTTTTGTATATCTATGAAGGCTCTTTGGCTAATGTTCAAATTTAGTTTCTTACAGGAAAGCATCTCTTGTACCTGACTCTGTAACAACGTAAATTTTAAAACAA